TTTTATCACAGAAAATAATGATTATCATGATATTTTACAACTGGGATAATTCAATAGAGCAAGTGAAAAAGAACCACTTGGAACTAATTGATTTGATTGGAATAATAGGACTTATAAAATAAAATAAAAAAGAATAAGAAAAAAACATTTGAATACATTCCTTTTCATATTGCCACTCACATATGTGGCAGATGTGAATGACCTGTACTTCTAAACAAATGCCTTTGAACTTTATTCTTTAAAATCTACTTTCTCATAAAAAATCAAATTTTCTCCTCCTTATGTTTTTGTGGTGATAATTGGTGGCAGTTAAGTTTGATACACTGAATCTGCCACACTACAAAACACCATACTCTGAGATTATTTTACTCGAGTATCCTCTGACTGAGGCCAGTATCTTAAGAGTTTCTCAAATGATATTCATTCTTGCAAAGGGTACACATGCCCCTCCCTATATACAAGTGTAAGTTTGTGCAACCATGCGTGGATAATAAATAACAAAAACAAGGTTTCCTTGGTTACGTTTTCATAAATCAAGTAAACCTATGAAAACTACATTTCCAAGAAGCTAGCCCTGCTGAGTAGCATAATTTCCCTATTAGGGGTTTGATTTACGATTACTATAGTAGATGGGTGAGTAACTGTTGTTTACTGGTCAGAGGATTAGACCATAAGGTCTTTTTATTAGGACAATCTCCTTTAGCTATCAGAACGCAAGAATTTATGGTATACTCAAACTGATTCAAAGTGTAATGAGAAAGTACAAGGCAAAACATGTGAAAAACTACTAAACATTTTGCAAACCTCTATAAATCAAACAAGCCACAATAGAGGAATTCACAATACCCTGAGACCTGGTGGAGACTAGTCATATTTACTACTCTCTGATTAGGACAAATAAAATACAGCTCTGGTTAGATGAGACAAAAAAAGGATTATTCCTTATTCAGAGTTCAGAATAAACCATTTTCAAGGAAGTGAAACCAAGCAATTGAAAGTACAAATTCTACTAAATTACTCAAACATAAACAGAACATATAGGGATCCAAAGTCTCTACTATACCTCTCTCATAGTTATTGGATAAAGAGATCAGAATGTAAACGGAACAGTATTTACAGAGTAGTTCTTCAAATGCATTAAACTGTGACTGTCAAATGAGACTAATCCTACAGGGAGTTTGGCACCAATGGTTTATTTGATTCAGTTATAATATAATAACACTGTATCACAAGTCTTCTGGGATTACAGACAATGAAATTATCCTATCCTTAAAATATCACTCTCTGATCACACTTATTCCACTCTATTTCTCTCTTATTAGAATATCATCTTGATTTTCTTGCCTGTTCTTAAGATTCAGAGTTTTGAGCTATTTCTTGTTCATGATATTATTGGGTACTTTTAATATAATTATACTAATACAGCATTTTGAAACAAGACACATATCAAATATTATATAGGGGCTGAGCTATCTCTGCAGACAATATTATGGTGAATCATCACAATTAAGTCCACAAACTGCCCATGGATCATTCATTCCTTCCATTTTCAACATGACTTTGTCAATGACCAAGACAGCAAGTTTTTCCCATCATGCATAGCACAGCAATATTCTTTCCCATCATGCATAGCATAACCCATACAAGGCATAAACATACAAAATGTCACCACATGCCATTTGTTACAGATGCTGAACACCAACTTCCAAACACCGACCACCACACATTATAAAGCTGACTAATATGCAATTTCTTGAATTATAGCCAAAATAACTGGATTAGAAATGTTATCAATTTCCATCAGGGTAACACTGTTACATCAGACAATAATCAGAAGATTACTGATGCAGGATATTTTGTAATTTGTTTCAATTATGGAGGATGTTGATAACACAGACGAGTCACTTAAGCATTTATGTAATACTTTACAAGCCAGTATGCTACACAAGTATTATATCATGCATTCATGATTATGATATAATATTCATCATATTTCATGAGTTATCACATTTGTTTCAGTGGCAACTATCAAAATTTAGCAATTTGATTTTTCAGTTGAAAATGTTTTATTGAATGGAAATTTATATGCTGAGTTGGCATTATAAATGCATATTTTGCAATTTTCATCTTTGTCTTTAATATACAGGGTGTTCCAAAAGTAACAGGACTGGTGCTGGCATTTTGTCAATTCTGCACAGGGTGTCTTCAAATTTTCACAAATTGTAGTTTGAAGTATTGCAACTAAAATTGCAAAGTGTCAGAAAAAAATATAAAATGCAGGTAGAGTTATGGTCACTATAGTAACATGACATCACAATACCCGGGGCAACTTTTTCATAAACATGTAATATCTAACATTTTTATATTACTGAAGAAAGTATCTAATTCACCTATCACAATACAACATTCCTTGTTTGTTTTATTATTTGCTTTGTAGTAATGATATTGCTATACAACTCAGATTCAATTATGATTTCATAATAATAATATTTATTCAATTTCCTGGAATATCACTTTGCATAACAGTCTGCACAATTCACGGTTGGGTTTTTAAAAATACCCAATTTGAAGCCAGCCATCCACCTTGATAACGCGCCTGTCCGCAAGTCAGTATTAAAAGCCACTAGCCTGCAGCTATAGAGGAGCTAGGTCTTAAGATCTAAGACAATGCACCATACTCTTCTGATCATGCATATCTAATTTTTACTTATATGGAGAATGGAATGCTAATCAGAGCCGTTAAACCTTAAAAGATGAGAATGACCTTCTCAAAGTTGTCCTATCGACCCTGCGTGACATGTCCTCAAATGGGTTTACTCATGTGTTTGAGTCATGGATACAGAGTGCTACTCCTGGACTGACCAAAGAATAGCCTACCTTTGAAATAATAGGATACATAAGAATATCAAATGATGTATTTAGCAAATGTAATTCCCAGCATTTGTTGGATTTTAACTTTGATATTGGATGTGCAAAATGCTTAAAGTGTCTGTAATTATCTACAAGGAATGTTGCCCCGGGTATTGTGATGTCATGTTACCATAGCAACCATAACTCTACCCGAGTTTCATAATTTTTGTTGAAACTTTGCAGTTATACTTACAATATATGAAAGTACATTATGTAAAATTTTGAAGATGATTGGTGCATATTTAACAGAGTACCAGCACCAGTCCTGTTACTTTTGGAACACCCTGTATACAACATTTGAGGAATGGTCTAAAATCTCACGTGTGAGTGACATTGCTATTGGCTCTTGGGTTACGATGCTTTCTATTATGTCAAGATAACACTTATCCAATAACAAATATGTCATGTTTCAAATAGTAAAATAAAGCACTTATTTACAAATTCAGACAGAGACAGGAAATGTAGGATTTTGTTCGAACTATGATATATCCAATTATTTGCGAAAAAGTCAGTCATTCAGTCACTTTAAGAAACAATGTGCAAATATTGAATGAAAAATTAGCCCAGATTGATCGATCTCGGGAGATTATCAATGTTTGGTCAAGTGGCTAGAACAAGAGGATTCTTATTAAATTATAAGAGAATTAATCTCCTTTCAGTAAAAGATATGGAATGTGTCATTCTATGGCCTAGGACTTGGTAATTTCTGTCACAATGTGAGATGGGGGTCAGAGTGAGAAAGGGGTAGGAAGTAAAATCTCTTTGATTCATATAATAAGCAAACTCGTTTAACATTGAGAATGATAGAAGGAACAAAGTGTTCAAGTACTGAGTCAGTAAGAAGTCAATATTGTTATTGGCAGATGGTATTATCTGGGTTAACTAACCAGTTTCCTCAAACAATTATCTCAATTGTGTATATATCTCTGTGGGTATCTGTGTAGATGGCTGAAGCACTCTAAAATATTGCAAAAAGAGGTTAAGTCTTCCTGTTTTGGTTTCTTACTCCAGATGTGTTTTTCTAAATCTTTAACAAGCTATTTCTGATCTTTAGGAAACTTTTCTTTTTCCTTTTGTTTTCCTTCATTTTTCTGTAATCAATATAATAAGGAAGTTTCAAATTCCCCTGAGTTCTGAACTAAAGTGTAGTGGAATTGATCTAAGTGTCAATAGAGTAACCGAGGAGGACTATACTAGGCTAAACTGGCACTCTGTGATTCCTTTTAGCATTTTAAATGTGTTAGAAGCCAAATGCAATGTTAAAAATTGTTTTCTACTGGGGATACATCCATGTGAATAGTGTGTAAAACTATACTTACTGGAACACATTTCTAAAGCTGTAAAGTCAACCTAACATTCATCTCTGGAAACTTGGAGATGATTTGTTACCATAGCAACCAAAGTAAACTTCCTAAGCAATGCCCCCCACATGTACACTGATCAATGTAAAAAGTCACTAGTTTAAATACAACATCCAGGAGGAAACCTTCCAGCCAAAACAAGGTTCAATCATCATACATGTTGGCATAGAAACAGAAACACGTTAAATGCAGTAACTAAAGTAACTACCAAACAAAAAAACAAATGTTTTATGACATGTGATTTATGGTTGAAAATATCTAATATATATAATATGAAATAATCTCATTGTTGATCATTGTCATTGTCTTTCAGTCAGCTTCTCATTTTGCTCAATATTCACTCTTGCATAAGTATCAAAGGCAACACATGACTATGAAAGATGCCTACTAAATCAATACACCACCTAATTTTTAAAGCATTCCCCTATCTCACGAAATCAAAACAACTCAAGGGATTGTTTTCAAATCATAATGCTGATCAAGATCTGTATAAGATCTGAAACTGGGTCTTTTTAAGTGTCTCATCATACATAATTGATTACTTTTGCAACAAAACCAAATTCAAATTTGAATCTGAAAATTTGAAACAAAGATCACACTTTTGACAAAAACTGACAATTTAGTGACAAGCAAATTTGATCTTTGTGCGTGATTGAAAAATGATAATGGCAAAATCATAACAGTATTTGATACTGGTATATGAAATGACTATAGTAAAACATTACTTACTTTTGCATGACAACATCCTGGTAGATGATTTGATCGCTAAGGCTGAATGTGCTGACATCCAAGAGGTGGATGTTACCTCCCTCTGTCCCCAAGAGAAGGTTCTCTGCATTACTGGATAGACAACATGCGGAGATGTTCTTCAATTTGCTGCAAATACATATACAAATATACTGTAAGATGTTTTAATTTGATGGCTGTTTTAATTTTTTACGGATTTGGTGGATTGGTGACTTTGTAATTGAAAAGGGATAATGGCAAAATCAAAATAACCCTTTTAACAACATGCTGAGATGTTCTTCAATTTGCTGGAAATACACACAAAATATAAATTAGATTGTAATTAAAACTAGAATTGGAAATTCCAAACAGTGTCCCTTTTTAGCTTTTATCAGGGAATTAGGGGCAGGGGTACAGGGGATGGGTAGTGGGAAATACAGAGTACTTGATGAAAGACTAGGGGCCCTGCAGTGTATGACAATACAAGAGTTTGATAAAAATACAAACAAGATAAATCTGAGTATACAACATGTACAATCATCCAATACTAAAAAGAGAATTAATTTATACATCTGACATTTCATTTAGTTCATTAACTCCAGATATCGATTGCATATTCTTCGTCAGTTATACAATGAAATATTGAAACTAAGATAAGCTTGATTGCGATTTCACACATAAGTAGGTATCAAGCATTGAGATTAAATAATTATACTGAAATCTGCAACTGTTAATACAGTTACATCCAAACAAAGAAATCAATGCTGTTGTGCCAGAATATTGAAAACTCGGATATAATACGTTGAATGTTTCTTGTTCAAAACTACCCATGTATTGAAAAATGCATTCAAATGGAATTTTATATGAACAATGATCGAGTTGATAAATTATTACTTTGGGCATGTAACGATAATCTCCCATTGTTGATGGTTGGTTTGTGGCGTGTGCTAAATGTAAAGAAGCAGGTGCAGAAAGAAACACCTTCCAGAATATTTCCTCAGGTCTTTCTTGGAAATATTTGAAAGAAATCATGAAACTTGTAAATGATCAATTATATCATGACATAACATTTATCTTTATCTTTGTGGTTTATGATTCGGATTTTATTAATACTCAACCATTTCTCAATAATCAAAAATTAAAAATCCTGCTAACATTTGCCAGGGTTTTTTATTCTCTGGAACCATTAAGGAATCATTTAGAAAACAAAGGTATCATTTTAATACTGTTGACTTTGCCGGTTTTATGCAAATACAATAAGTTGATTTTATTGTCTTGACTCATGAAAAGGTATCATGTTAAAGCTCATAAACATGATGATGTCGCTGTATAAACATATAATTGTAACATGACAGATACAATATCTGAACAATTCGTAATGTCATTTTCAATACTTGACTCAATACATTACAAAAAAAAGATATTTCACAGGTTACAAATGCGCCAAATTCACGAAACCTATTCAAACCATATCTGACGATTACATAAACCCTTACTTTCCATCTCAAAAACAGTCAGGCTTATGGATCAACACAACATCGCCAAAATGCCATGTTTCTTGTCTCCTCTCACACCCTGCCTATGTTAACCCAGCAGAACCAAACAAAGGGAGTTTTTTTCAGAATATTAAAATTGGCTACTAAGGAATAGAACAATAACATAGCATGCCTTCATTTTCATTTCATACCGAGCTCTTCAAATTGGAATTTGAGGACAATTTCAGCCACAAAATCATTTCTCAACAGAGTAACTGATACCTTCTCCATCAATTTCTAATTGTTTGATCCATAGTATTGTTGACAAATTAGAGTTCACCTCCTATTGAGGGGGTCACATACAGGACTCTTGTGGAACAGCTGGCTGAAGCAGATGCCAGGGGGATAATCCTGATTAGCCTACACAACACTGGTTGCTGTATGTTAAGTCTCCATCTGAACAAGATTATAATATGAAAAAATGGACTCTATTTGAAAATCAGTTTGCCACCAGGCAGAGAAAGGATGCCAAGGGAAGTGGGGGGGGGATTTCTGAGACACTATTAAATGCCACGGGAAATTCACACTAACATTGAAGGCAAGCTATACATGTTGGTGAATAACTTAGATCTGAGTCAATGTATGCATATTGCTTCTGAGAAAACATGTTTCTGGTGAAGGCCAATCACCAATTATGCTCATCCTGACAGCCTACTTTGCTTCACCTCAAACTCTGGGAGAATACAATTTGCTAGCCCTGAATAAAGATACCATCGCAAACATGCCCTGAATAAGGATGTCACTGCAAACATGCCCTGAATAAAGATATCATTGCAAACATGCCCTGAATAAAGATATCATCGCATACATGCCCTGAATAAAGATATCATTGCAAACATGCCCTGAATAAAGATATCATTGCAAACATGCCCTGAATAAAGATATCATTGCAAACATGCCCTGAATAAAGATATCATTGCAAACATGCCCATTCCACAATATTTCTCACCACAATTTGAATTGATATAGGATTTTCTGGAATTTTTCGAGCCGGTGCATAAAGAAACACCTTCCAGAATAATTCCGAATGCCTTTCTTGGAAAATGCACCATTTGAATTGATTTAGGATTTTTTAGGATTTTCTGGAATTTCTCGAGCCCTTTTGTTATTGCCTTCAGCATATTTATTTCATTTATATTCCGATTGCTCTCTCACTTAATCTTGTGTTTGATTTTTATTACATTGGAAAATTGTTCTGAAACCAACCTTTGCTTGCTTTCAATTCCATGCAACTCCCAAACTAATCAGAGCCGAGCAGCATAAAACGCTGATTTATTCGTTAACTTGCATCAGACACAGGGCTTACATAATATCAACGATCCCATAATTTCAATGAACGCTATTTTTGGAGAATGGAAGAATCACACTACAATGTTTTCCCTATTTCATGCATTACTGGTTAACAGACTATAAAGATACACAATTAGAAAATATCAGTTGATAATCCATCAGAGCGGAATAACCTTGATGTGGAACATCTAGTATCAGAGACCCAAGAGACCTTCTCTTTCTGACTGCTTATGCTTCAGTTGCTTATAAAGAGAGGTATAAATTCTGATAAAATATGAATTGTGAGGCTCTTCTCCACACAACCTTTGGCAAATTATGAGACAGGATATACTGAGCGGCAGCCAGGCAGTTTATCAAATATATGACATAGTACTCTCATGATAATATATTAGCTATGAGCCTTGTAGCTTATTAAACACACTACAGATCATAGACAGTATAAAGAGGATGTTATTCATTGACAATGCTATCATTGATATCTCGTAAGTTCAAAAACTGTCAAGATTTCAAAGAGGCAAAAATACAAAAATTATACAGCTATCAAAAAGAGAATGAGGGGGTTACAATGGTACAGCAATAAAGCCCCTTTACAAATTATGATATGGTCGACAAGAAATTTGTTTCAAAATTTCAGTTGATCCTATTATGACAGAGACAAAGAAGATATAGACATTAAGTATAAGTTTCCAGTTTATAAGAACATATAACTGCATGTAGTAGCATCTGAGCCTTGTAAACATGGGCATATCTTTTACTGATTATACTGATGAGCACAAGGTGTTACTTCAGACTGAGGATATGTGTCAGTGATATTGAGGTCAGGCCAACCTTAACCAAACAATTTATGCTCAGATAACCATTCCAAGACACTAATATCCAATTTGGGAAGCTAAAAAGACGATAATCTAATAATAAAACACTACGAGCAAGTTGCACCCTCATATTTATGATGTAGTTATTCACACTGAATATTCATTACAGCTCAAACACTCCACTGGAGGTCATACCCTTTCCATCAGACCTCATGATTTTGACTGCACCCTAATACCTGATTGGTTCATTCTGGGTAAGTCTAGCTACAAGCCCCTGTGGTCCCTGCTCCCAGTACTTGACTACACACAGGTATGTCAACTTCTGACACACAGGGGAAGGTGTTAGTGGGGGGAGGGGGGACAAAGGCACGTAGCTCCATAGCTAGACTAATTCTGGGTATATTACATACATTAACAGCCAGGCCAGACTCTTTAGTACTAAGACACTCATAAACCTAGTAATATCCATCAAAAAGAACAAAGTAAATATTCCCTGGTGCTAAGTCAAGGTGAACCAGAGGTACAGTTACTCCATTAAAACATTGGATATAAGAGAAAACAACTCACACAGCCCTAGGTACAAGGCATTTACAGGAGCATTTACCATTTACAGGAGTGATTGGTTTTGTCCTAAACTCACGACCTGAGCATAAAGTTTAGTTCTAAACTAACCTCTGATTGTCCTCAAAAATTATTCCTTATGTATATATATTTTAAAATGGCTATACATAGCTCTCAGAATGGTTGAATGGCAAAATGTAGAATGATTTGTTCAAATCAGAGTATATCATAAAAGTTTACGAGCTCAGGGTACAAGGTGAACATTTGGTACATCTGTACTTGGTTCTGATCATGTATTTCAGAATTACAACTGAGTTCCAATCATCGTAAACATGTACCCTGCATACAAATCATGTCATTATACCCACACTCTGCAGAACACAGAGCCAATAGAGTACCCTCTTGAAGAGTATAATAACAGCATAATCTTATAAAATGAGGGGCATCATGAGCCTTCTATTGGACAGTGTAAGGGAAACTACAACGTATCTCTCCCTCTACAGAATGGTGTTAGTATGATTTGTTGTAACAACTGGTGGAAAACAACCCCTTGCATGCATGTAGAACATGTAACTGCTAAATCATGCTTTTTATTAGGGTTATTAGGGCTCATATTTTTTGAAAATCTAACCACAAGTAATTCTGTGTAAAAGACTGTGACAGATGAAGTGAAAGCCAAGCACAATGTGGCACAGACCATCATGTCAAAGTCAAAATACAAATAAAACGGACCAGACAAAAGAATCGTTAAGTTAATTTACACACAAACTGAAAATGGGATAAAACCATTCATGTACATGGATTCAAACAAAATGCCATGATAACCATATGAATTTCATCCCTGTAATAATACCCAGGAATTCAGGATATAATCAAAATGACCACAAATATGACATTGATCCAAATACTACAGAAGTCCATGTTCCCTGTTTATATCCTCCCAGTATGGTTATCCCAATTATCCCATATGATGTCTTCAACCATAATCCTGTTTACAGCCCACATGACCATCCTCCACAAATCAGATTTGAGCATTCCATAAATTTGACATATCACCTGCAGGTAATCATGGGGTAAGAGGATCTAATCTTCAATTATTCAATGTTACAAATCCCAGGAACACATGTTCTGAGTTAATTTGTTGAAAATGAAAACAAAGACGAGTAAGCAATCCCTTCCTTTGATGATATCAGTTTTGTAGGGGAACATGAACAAAGGCACCCCAAGTATCAGACTCTAATGTAGATGAAGCTCTCTTTTAAGAATCAAAATCCAGCTATTGAAAGGGGGAGGATGACAATCCAGCCCTTGCTGTGTTGTATGTCAAAAAGGTTTGTGATATGACATAGATCCTGTCATAAACCTGTCAAGGGGTGATTTTGGCCCAATTTCTGAAATGGATAACTTCATACATTTGTGAAACATTTATTGCATGTTTAGGTGGAAGAGTAGAGACATGTGCTAGAAAAAAGCAACTGTGGAAAGTTCTATTGGGACCTTTGCCATCCTCAGCAACTGTTTCATATCATGTAACATTTCAAAATTAAACAAAAAGCTACTAACAAACCATATCATGAAACTCTCAATCACTGGCGGATCGAGCCTTCACTATGAGGCTCGAAAATTTTATAGCGTCAATAAGTGGGCCTTTTTGGGCATTATTTAGGCCTTTTATGGCCAAATTATCAAAAAATTAATTTTTGGATTTAGGGGCCCAAAACTTTTTCACACATTTTTTTACGATTTGAAATGTGCCCCCCCCCCTTTCTGTTAGCTTCTGATCTAGAGCTTGTGCTATCTCTTGGAACACACAAATACATTAGATAAAGAAGGACCCTGATAGTGAGAATGCTCTCACTTGGTATAGCCCATCTTCGTTCACTCGGCTCCCGTCGGTCGAACGCAGTGAAGACTGAGCTTGCAAAGATGGTATAGCCAAAACTGACCATTTTAGACATGGAAAATTAATAATATGCGTGACTTTAGAGGAGTGTGCTATACGTATTGTCTGCAGTTGTCATATGATTTATGACTGCAGATGGTGGCAGTATAGACACAACACTACAGCTCTGAGACATACAGCCATGTTGATGTATGAGTTGATGAGATTCTGTTTCAGTTTCTGTACTTATATCATATACTAAAGAGCTACAGGGATCAATGGACAAGACAACTGCTTCATCACCAAATTAGTTTCTGTTTCAGTTCAACATACAGAGTGTTCCTAATCACAGAAAGTGACACAGAAGCAGTAATTAATGATTCCTCAAATGAAACTTGCCTTCAAATTGCCTGTCTCTGTTATCACATTGTGTATCAGTGAATCACTTGACTAACAGATCAGAAAGTATTTTCTCAATCATGCATCTGTGAAATTTCTAGACCTCTGAACTGTCTTGGAATACTCAACCACCCAAGGAAACTGAAGTCACCAAAAATCAGAGATTTCTGCAACTTAACAGAGAAGCATATGGGCCATTATGAAGGCCATGATTGAATTAAAAGGGTGATATTTTAAGTGAGGGATATGTACATTACTAGTCCATCTTTATCTCCTTTCTAGTAAGTGTTCCTATTTATTTCCTTATGTTGTTGTCTACTCTAATGGGGTGAAGTCATCCTTCATTCAAAGGACTTCTTTCATTACTCAATTACTCAATTCAATTGGAAAGAAGTTAAATACCCTTGGACCAAGGATGGGGTGAAGTTAGTTTTTGATTTCTAAAGCATACTAACAAATAAAGCTCATATGACCAAACCAAGGACCTTATATATACCTGCTGTGGAACAACCTTAGATATTTCACAATAGGAAACCTGATGCTCTACACTTTTGCTAGACAACAAAATCAAGAATCAACACCTGAGAATCTGAGATGAACTGATTGGAAAGCCAAATTCAAGCGGTAAACATGGACCCGTGTTGAAAGATGATCTTTTAAACAACAAATGAGAAAACAACTCCGATTCTGCAAAGAACATCATGGGTGACCAATATATTACTTAGATGTACCCTGCGTGCAGAGTCTAGTTAAACTACACTCTGCCTAGTAGATACCATATTACAGTTTAGTAGCCCCGCCCCCACGACAGGTACCGGTGACAGTTTGGGTAATAAATCACTTTTGGACCTACGCGCTGACCTTTCTTCCACCAATCCGCGAGCTTGAAGAAACATACGCCAAATGCGTTCTAATTAAATATGTGCATGTCATTGGTCAATTCCGGGCTCAACGATGACGTCAGAAAGAATGACCATATATAGAACGTCGGTCAAATTTGGCCGACGGACACTGATTGGCGCGGTGACTTCACAGGTTTATTTTAGTTTGAAAGAGTGAAGACGAAGCTCTCTTTTAAGAAGTGAAGTCAAACGAATGCAAAGGGTAACTTAGATGCCAAACAAGCAACAACTAGAAATTGGCTTCACAGTACAACTGATCAAAAATCAACTAGGTGTTTACCTTCCAGTCTATCAAAACATAAGTTATTGATTTGATCAGAACTGCCTTGTCCAAAGTAATTGCAATCTATGGGTGTTTTCAGGTTATCATGGCCTGGTCAAGTAGTAGCTCTTGGGGTACTTACTAAACGATTGTGATAAAATTAACAACAATATAACAACCATGAAAAAAGAACAAGGTGGTTATGCTTTAGGAAATAAACATTTAGGAGGAACTATTTGAATTAGAAGTAAGAACTCAAATATGATGCATGGCCTTCTGTTACATTATACAGAAAAACAAAAATCAAGAATGTCTGAAAATGCAATCAAGATCCAAAGAGGAGAATGAATAAGAATTTCCAAGATTTTACATGATCGAAGGGCTGCTCTTTTCGGACTGATAGAGGAGCAACTAAAGCATCTGATCAAATCCTTCCAAAACCCTCTCACTCAATATAGTTGTATATTAGTAAAAATATGACTTAACAACAATGTATTCCCATATGATGGTATGACAAACCTCACTGCCCTACCACAATCAGGTGAGGATAAAACAGATGGGAGTTTGACAAAGGTGTGAGAACCTGGGTGCCCAAAGGTATAAATGAGGATAAGAATCACTCATCATGATCAAACATGATCAAGATATGATCAGGTCATCAGGACATGATCGAAAATCAGTTGGTGAATGTACTCAAAGCAACTGTACACTAAGCACACATGAATACACTTGGAGCATTTTTATTTTACTCCCATTTATCAAGGCCACCACAGTAGGGAACATTTTCAACATCTAAATAATTTAATCCAATAATCTTAAATACATATTAGCATATGGCTTTAAATAACTGCTCATGTAACAGTATTTTAAGGCCAACTTGGAAACCATCCTATACTGCTGTGAAAGATGGGTCAAAAAGTAGTTTTTTCCCAGGATGAGAATCAAACTACATGAGGTTAACCCCTGTAATGTCCCTCCCCTAATGATGTAAGGCCATTGATTTAAGGCCAAGCAATCATACACATGGTGAGAGTAAGAACTGTGCAAAATAAGAGGAAAGGAAATTCATTGCCAAAATATTTGAGTTGGTAAAATAACATTAGCATTTCAAAAATATGTCAGATCTAACCAATTGGAATAAGAACACCAACCTTGACATACATCAATACAAGACACATTTAGACCTTCGTTGAGGAAGTCGATTTACTACGAAACTATGCAGCAAATCCAAATCCTTTTTATCAATGATTTATCAACATGCCAACTCTATAGATTTCCTACTTAGTGAACATAAAATCTGATGTATGTGGTGCACAATTACTATTTCATAGTACAAATATGCAAGTAGATATATAAAAAACAATGATGAGCTACTGATATGTGGATGTTAAACTTAAATAATTCATGTTTCAGTATTGGTTTCATTCGGGATTTCGAACTTTTGTTTCGAAGTCTTCTCCAAATACAAGGTTTGGGCGTATCTTCATACAACATTAATGAAAATGTATACATGTACTGTATTTGCCAGAATTGTTACTCGAGCCATGAAATCAATCGTTGTTATGCTGCATTATCTCTTTCATTTACCCAGGGAGCCTGCATTTGCATAATATTTTCTTTTCCAATATATCAGTTTAAATAATATCTTCCTTCAAATCACACGTTAATCAAGATGTTTTCACGCTGATTGAAGGAGTAAAAAAGTTTGCTTTCAAAACATTCGCCAAAAATGAAAGTAATGCAGTTGATAAAGCATCAAAGTTTTTAAGTTTTTGAGTTTTTGTACTATTCAAGTTTGCAAAATAGGCTTTGTTGTATCTTGCAGATTATACAAGTCAATCTTGTTATCACAAAGGCTAAGCTGAGCAGTTCCTGATGGATGAGAGTCAACTTTAAAAGAACACCCATAAAATACATATTTGGCACATACACATGCATTAATAAGGGCTTAATGGAATACTCAATTTTAATCAGTAAGCACACATCAATATTAGAAACATTGTCAAGAGATCTCTGGTTTTGTGTGTTCTACAATTTCTTTCTAAAACTGAAACTTTCATTTTCTAGCATTTCTATCTGGGCAAAACTAAAGTTCAACTGGGTGTGCCATCCGGTGAAAAGTGGCTGGGGAGATCATAGTTTGTATATTCCACTCTCTCTCTCTCTCTTACATTTGAACATCATGATTCACAAGGGTTCAGTTGCTCCTCGGAAGTTGAAGATTTCCATTCTGATACTCATAGCATCTTTCTGTTTCACTTGAAACATCTCAGGGCTGAGAAGAAATGAGTTGTCATGGTTTATCATGATGGTCAATTTCAAACAATTTGAAATATTAACTACTTGCCTTTGTACTTATCCTTTCCTGATTCTACTTCTTTTCACTCTACATAGACATTAATAAAAAAAAACACAACCATGATGAAATATTCAAATCACAATCTTACCTATTCTCCATGGAGAAGTCTTTGACCTTCTCCAAGACAGAGTTGCCATCTTTGATGTTGACCTCCCATAAGTGGAGAGAGTTGTCACTGAATAAGCTGATCAGGCGACCCTGCAACAAAAAACATCATTTCAATATCCAAGTACAGTATCTTCTTTTTCTGGAACTAATTGGGATTTGTACAATACCCTAGAGACTTTTCCCTTGGGATAAAATCATCTATTGATACTGTACTCTCGGGAGACATAAAGGGGAGAATAATTGAAGAGGGATTAACCAAGTCGATAGAACCCTCCTTCAAGAAATAATGGAAAATCCATGCTGCTTCACAATGGTGTGACTAACATGAACTCTGACGAGGGAGTGAATCTTCATTGAACGATGAAAACACACTTCAATTGCTTGCCATATATAGGGTGGTCCACAAAATATATTATTTAGACAGTTCCTACTAGGGTACCCATATAAAAGAAACTAATCATAGCAGGAGTTAACTGTACAGCCATGAAAAAAAACAGCTGATAACCTCCACAAACGATCACCAATTACACTTCTGTTGTTGGCTTGTACTATGTCAAAGATGCAGACTTTTCAAGAATACAAAGCTCTTTGAAGATATTAATGAATTGATATTTTTCATTTCAATTTGTTTCTGTCTGATATACTTGTAGAAACTATGTGAGAATTGGACAGAGCCTTGGAATTTGAGTAAAAAATTACATTTCACCTTAATACTGTACTTGTAATTTATTCAAGAGTGCAAGAATTTCACAAAAACTTCTGGCATTTAACCCATGTATGTCTCTCATGGAAAACATGCCTCACTGGTATGCTTAAAGGTTAAACTCACAAGAAAAAATGTGGAAGCAAATAGAAAACTTCAAAGATGAGCATGCTATATTGACTGAAATGGGCTGGAGAGGTACATATTGAAGTGCTGTGAAGTAGAAAATGAGAGTTGAATAGATCTAGCTTGTGAACAAGGCTTACAGTATAAGAGCAACATGTAGATTTTTGTTAAAAAAACATTCAAATAATTGGAATTCTCACAATATCTTCACATACGCAGATTGTATACTTTATCAAAAGTATAACTGGACTTAAATCAAATCTGTTTACTACAAATGATATAGTTTAGAAATCTTAACTTTTCAATACCTATATTTCATTTCATTATTTGTGCGAAACCTTTCATTACTTCCAGTAAGAGTTAAGATCATCTTATTAAAACATCTTTCAACTCTAAATCAAATTGTAAACTTCACCTTTGCTTTTGACTCCCACACAGGTATACTAAAGAATAGGAAATGTGAGAATTTATAGGTCTATAAAGTCAAAATAGCGGCATACACCTGTGCATAGTCTAGCATCCTACTCTCATATACAGGATATAGAGTTTATTAAGGTAACCACTAACCAGCCCCTCCCATCCAACTAGATATACATTTGTAAACAGAAGATAGTGACATCATAACATTTCAGCAACAACTAAGACCCAAACCCATGGTAACATGCCTCCCTGCATATAGTTAAAAATTGAAATCCCATTCTAGGCATCCTGATACTCGACTCATAACATCTTTCTGTTTCACTAGAAACATGCGGATTGCTGAGAAGAAATGAGATGTCATGGTTTATCATGATGCTTTCTCGGCATGTCATATCATTCATTATGCGATTTCACAGCTTAATAACGGATTTTGACCTAGTCTATTGTAAAAGATATTAAATGTTATGGACCAGTCCTAATGTTAGTTTTCTCTCTACCTACCTCCATCCCACAATACATAGAGTCAATCTTGTAATACATGGTCCCTGTATACCCCCCACATATGTCATGTATACCCCTACCCCTACCACCCATTCTCATATCCCCCTTTTTCTCTAAAACTGCTTGAGTAAGACTGGAACTAGTGGGGGAAAGTGTGGTGTGGTACAAGGACTTTATATAAAATAAGTACATATTTTATTATACTAAACAATACATACCTGTTCAGGTAAGAAAAATAGTTGTGTGACAGATCCCTCAGCTTCGTGTTGACCTCCGAACTCTACTCCAGGACCTCCTACACTGATACATGGTTAAGGAACATTTCTGTCATATTAATAGGATGGTCATTTATACAATGAGCTAAATACATTTTAATAATAGTTTGTTACAGACACCAACTACCAAATACCAATTGCCAAACACCATCCAAAAAACGTTGGAGATAATAACAATATGTCACCACCTCTGATGGTGACATAAAAAATGAATAGTATAAGGTCAATGTCTGGGATAAAATCAAACTAAATATCAGATCCACAATAAGGGGTCTTGTAAAAATGTCCATATTTTGTCAAATAGCCGATTTGCTTCTCAAGGTTTCAGTTGATTCCGCTTATATTATAACCACTCTGAAAGTTGAGAATGGTTCTATAGCACAAAGGTGGTACTTAATATAATAAAATATATTATCAGTATTTCTATCACCAGAATTTGGAAATGAAGCTTTATTATATAGTGTTGCCAATGGTGATATCATAGCATCATCTGCAACAAAGGTTTAAGTAGAGTTCAATCATCTGAGACAAGACAAACACAGACGTAGCTGATCACAATATTAATAACTCGGATTGATTTTTTCTTCTTATTTCACTGCTATTATCTCTATAGACGTATATTATTACCAGTTTTTTAAATATATAAGCCCTATCATGCTTGAACTAATCAGTCTCTTGGTATACGACCAAATGAAATTTCCTATTTATAACTTACATGAGATGTCTCTAGACAAATTAATATTTTTTGTCTAAGAGTCTTTTTTACCATTTCAATACAAACAATGAAACTACTTTTATGTTTTTTATGTTTCATTGCACTTATCTTACAATGAGTTTTTAATTATGAGAATAAAAAGCAATTACTTATTCAATTCAAATTATCAAGATATATATTTGACAACTAGCGTATGGAGACAGAACACACTTGTTTGAATAGATCACACCCATACCTGACTAGGAATATCTACTTGATGGCTGTATTAAGCTACTACAAGAGCAGATCCTGCGGGTAAAATCACATATGCTTTTGCTTAATAATGCAATATCTTAAATAAAAAAAACAGTAGGTTTTGTATGATAACATGAACTGATTTTCTTGTAACACAAGAAAATCAGATACTATAAACTTTATAGAAATAGGGTAACGTAGGCGTAAACAGAGTAACATTTATGGCATGGGGTGTGTTACAATCCTGCTACTAAAGAACAATAAAATCACCGTGACAAACAGGTTGCCGTAGAGTTGCCATAGAAACCAGACATGATTATGGATATTTCTGCAGTGAATTTTTTAAGTTGTCGTCATATTGTCTATGGTTAGATTACATTGAGGAATCATGGGATGACTAATTATCATATATACGCAATATGATAAAATGATGTACTTTAGCAGAGGTATAAAATGAAATGTCACAGTGATCAGACTCGGTGATCTCTCATATCTAATCTTAAAGCAAGTAGATGCTATACTCATTTGAACATCACAAAGGAGAGAAGAGATAGACGTGAAATTCATTCTTTGATTTATGATTTAAGATTAAATCTAAAACATCAATCATGTACTAAATAATCAATTGATAGTTTGAGTGACCAGATGCAGAAAAAATAAATCTTAATTTCAAATCTTAATAATGGACATAATAAAAGCAGCCAATATGCTTTTTAAATCATCAATTATTTTTATCAAACTAGTGTTAGTGCATTCATGCTGAATAAATTACTGACCCAGATAATTCAAAAATTATGACAAAGTCAAGGAGAGAATTTTCATATTGATTTTTTAATTGCATTTTCAAAACAAACAGCTATATAACAATGCAGGAGTTCAATGTTCTGCTTTATAAAATATGTAATAAATATCTTTCAAAGTACAACTGTAGACCAACTTGCAAGTCACAGATGTGTCTATAATGAATGCCAATATTTAAATCGATACATCATTTTTTGTATTATGATAAAATAAAAGCAATTTATATAAGTAGAAATCCAGGTCTCAAATCTCTATCATCTAATTGCGTGAGATCAATCATTGTTTTAATGGATGTAAAATTTAGCATTTTTGTAAATTTTTAATCCTTTACTTTCAATCTCAGATGGAGCTAGGCTACCTTATGCTTTGCTACAATCTAACTTTTAGCTTTGTCATTGAATGTGACATGTGTGACATTGAATGTGACAATATTATGTAATAAGGTCACCACCTGTCATTTGTTACAGACACATATCATGTTATAGTGTTTAATAGCTACCATTTGTTACAGACATATCACCATACACTAACCACCAAACATTAACTACCAAACATTAACTACCAAACACTAACCACCAAACGCTGAACACCACTTATGGAGGGGACATAAAAATCAACTTATATCAAAACACATTGCAAGGACTTACATTTGCAAAATTTGTAACACACTATTTCAACAATGAAGGTTTTGTTTTCAATGAGGTAGGTAAAATAGTTACATTTTTGATGGATGTTGATTTATTGATAAACTCTATGGTAAGTGGCACTAACATTAAGCATACCTATTCCATGTAAAAAGTGAGCTAGATATTTTAAAAAAATCTCATCTGAGTTGAATATAGTAGAAGCATCAAGGATCAAACCTCAAAAACATATTACCCATACCCTAAATTATATTGAAAAGCAATGAAACTGAAACCTCCTTAAAAATTACAGAGGAATATTACAGAATAGACACGAGAAACAGATATTCTAAACCTAGAAACACAGATGCATAATTCATCAACTGAACAAAATAAAATTGGATCAATATGTCTAGGAGGCTCAAACAGAGAATTACATCACAGCTCACAAGATAAAATGTTCCCCAGAGGGAGAATACTATGACATTCAATGTCTGGCACTAATTGCACCACATAGGCTAATCAGGGGTAAAAAGTTCAACCCCACACACCTGATAATGATGATATACCTAGTATTCAAGTACCCAGGTGAATACCCAGTTTAGTATTCAGAAAATACAGTAAAACCTGTATAAGTGGAACACTCTTGGTACCGCTAAAAGGTTTGATTAACAATTAACATTTAGTCAGATGGTCTTGGGACTCTGCAAAGTGTTCTACTAATAGAGGTGTTCTACTAACAGAGGTGTTCCACTTCTAGGTGTTCTACTTTACAGGTTTCATTGTATATATGACTAAGCTATTCAAGGTCAATGTAAAGGATTACCAGTAGTGAATTCAATGTCAATTGATCTTCACATTCTTGACCAGTTCTTCAAGTGCTTTAGTCACTTACTTCAAAATCAATCACATAAATAATATTGCCGCTTACAGACAGGATAAAAACAATCTTAAAATTCTCTTCATACCAAAAAATAATGATAAAGACGCATACTTTTGCACAGGCACACTCCTTCAACAAGTTAACTCAGCTCAACTGAAGAGTAAAGATGTTGATTTTTGAAGAGAAAGTAGTCAAGGTGCTATATGCCAGGTCAACCCATACTAACACAACCTCAACAGAGATCACGGTAGACGTTCGCCATTCGCCAATCGCGAATTTTCGAAAGAGGTGGCGAAAAATATGTAAAGGTATTTCGCAGTTATGGCGAATTAGAGGTGTCACGGTTTCCCGATATTGGACCGAATTTCGGTCCAGATGCTTCGGTTCGGGACATGGGACAGAAAGGGTTAATATCGGTACATAGATTCCTTCCCTAGAATGCATAAAAACGTGTATAAACAGCGAGGAACACCTCCGACTTCGTTCTGAAAAATTAAATATTTTCACTTACCTCGTACCTAGTTTACACTTCTTTGCATTGAAAAGTGTTATTAACGGATCCGCAATTTCAGGTAGATGGTAATGCTTGTTCGTAAATTTCTTCATCGTCGTTCGCAAATCGAGTGCATTATCAGTATGCCGGATGTAGGAAAGAAATTGAAAACTCGAGCCGGCATCTAAGTCGAAAAAGTCGGCAGTTTGGAAGTATTTTGGGACTCCGATATCACAAGGTAAACGAATTGGTGATATAACACCGTGCAGACTATGTGAAATGCCGATCACATTCGCGGCAGATGCTTTACATTCAATTTTAATTGACGTTTTTTTATTTCTGAATATGATTTTGAAAAGTGAAACTGAAAGTGAAACTGTCATCATCAGACATTGCATCATTTTTAATGTTCCCTTTTTTACGGTTTTTCAAAATGGCTAATTCATATTTTGGTTGGCGAAAATTTTTTTGGAAGATTTAGCCACAATGGCTAACAAGTTTTTTCAACTATCGTGATCTCTGCCTCAATATGTTATTCACCTCCATAATATAAGAAAGGTAAATGGTTAAAAGACTTTAAACAAGACAAATATATGTCCTAAGACCAAAATGTATTTTCTTCCCATCTCAAAGCAAGTATTATACTCAGCTTGTCAGTTGGCGGGATTTAAACATGTGCAAATAGCGCCAAATCTTGGACAGTATACAATACCACCGATCTTTACACAGAGAGGTTAGGACTTAAAAGTAGAATGTTTGTACTCTTCCTAAAACACATAGAGCTAGAAATACAGAAGTATTATGTCTAGCATGTCTAATGTATGTACAAATATATATTTTCACCTTCAAAGTATATCTTGTTACACTGAAGGATCATAAATTGCCCTTTAGTAGATTTTCAAATAGAAATGTTATAATATACCAATGAATTCACATGCAATACTGTCAATATATCTGTATTGAACCCTGTTTACCTTAAGACTGTTAAAAATATACATATGTTTTGTACCCTTGAAGATATGAATTACGGGAGTTCTATATTTCAATGGTAATATGCTTGAAATACTTATTTTGATACAGTTACCATATTACAATCAAGATTAAACAGCAAATCACTGTTCTGCACTGTCTTAAGTATCTATAACAAAATTAAGAAACATTGACAAGACCAGCCAGTAGCCAGGATTTGCCAAGGGGGGTTCACTTTTTGAAAAATTCCAGGGGGGATTCACTTGTGACAATCCTGGTTCAAAAATGGCCAAAATCACTTAAAAAG